TCCAATAGCCCCCAGCCTACAGACCCCTGCTATCATTGGACCCTTTGCAAAGTACCCTCCCCATGTTGAGAACATGCAGCCTGGTATTGTTAAGAAGGAGAGAAAGGAGCCACAATCTCTTCCCTCCCCTTTCCTGGTCAGCCAGGCTTCATGCTCAGATAGGGGTCTAGTACAGAATTTGGGGGGAGGAGGGAAATTCTCTTTTTTCCGTGGGATCTCCCTTAAAATCCTTTTTTTGAAGGGGACCTTATGCTATTGATTTTACACAGTTTCCATTTGTTTACATTCACTTGGTCCTTTCAGCTGGTAGCCAGGCAGGCATTTCCAGCTGAGAGATGAATAGGCTGGGCAGGCATGATTAACTTGTTGTTAGAACACTGGTGGCCTGCTGACTCCCAAAGAACCAGTGGTCCTAAAAAGGATGCTGTCACTTTGAGCAGCGGTAGTAATAACTCTGCTAATTATTTCACTTCCCGCTGCAGCCAGAGGCTCAGCTTAGTCAAACACCCATTTAGTTTGGCCATTTGCTCAAAAAAGTAAACAAGCAGATCATCCCTATTTCTATTCAGCTCCTTGATTGATTCAGAAATTAAAAACTTGATGTCATTTTTCTGTAGTACTGCACATCTCAGTATTATTGTGTTGAGTAGGGAGCCATCTATTGTGTGTTCACTGCAATTGCAGCCTATTTTTATTCTTTTCAAACAAGAGCAGGAAGTGTTTTGGATTTGTTAATAAAGTTTATCCACACTTCACTGCAGAGCCATTTTAGCTTTCAGAAGAACGCCAGTGAAGTTCTCCTCTTTTTCCTTTTGACACACATATGCTTGTAAGTCTATTTATCATTAGTTAAAGTTACGATATATCTGGATTGCATTGCTATGTATTTTATGTGGGTTTGTAGGTTAGCTGTCTGCAAAAAAAAATGTGTTCATTGTATTCATTTGTAAGAGACATGTATAAAAGCATATTGCAACCTCAGTTTATGTGATTGTATTGCAGTTTTACAGAATGATTCACAGAAGTAAATTCAGCTTTGGAATGAAACACAACGCTGCTTCTGTCAGTTTTGTTAGCTAGCTGTCGGCTAACAGTAGGACAGCATACCTGGCAATACATTTACACAGTGGGTAGTGGCATATCCCTTTCTTAGCATCTGCCTAATAATTCCAAGTAACACATAGTAGTAGTAGTCAGAGATGTTTCTGGATATAATTAGAAGTCAGTAAATATTTCAGTGATTAGATTAAAGTAGCACTATAAGCAAACCTCTCTCCCATTTTGGATAGAGTAATAGAGTAAGGGAGCGTTATAACCCCTGTAGTTGTTTTTTGCCATCTGTATATCATTCGGGAGATTTACCTTCACTTCCTGTCCCATTGCCAAAACAGGAAGTGAGAGGAAATCCCTGCAAATTAAGTGAATCCATTGTGGCCCCCCAGGTCACCAGAACAGTGTCCCCATCAGAAGATTTCCCCTTTTTTACTGTTCTGGGGACAACCCAAAATTTTAAATGTTTCTTTTACTTTTACTTTTGATGATAATGGTAAACTGAAAAAATGGAGAGGATACAGACAGCAATAAAAACTGCCAGGTGCTCTAATCCATCTCCACTCCATCCAAAGCTATACATAAAATAAAAGTTATGTTTAATCCCTGTGAACTTTTATAGACCTAATCATCAATTGTATACACTTTATGCTTTGCTGACCCATTTTTTAACACACATAGGGGTATATTTTTTAAAGATTTTGCCTGACATTCCCTGAAAATGTATATGTGAATAATCACTGTAATCATTTTAAGCTGATTTAGTGAAAATTCAGGCAAAAATTCACCCAGAAAAAATTTTATTACCTGACATTCGACATGTTCTTCAAAAGGAAAAGGTTTTTTTTACCTTTGGATTTGGATTTGTTAATAAAGTTTATCCACACTTCACTGCAGAGCCATTTTAGCTTCCAGAAGAATGCCAGTGAAGTTCTCCTCTTTTTCCTTGTGAAAAATAGAGAGGATACAGACAGCAATAAAAACTGCCAGGTGCTCTAATCCATCTCCACTCCATCCAAAGCTATACATAAAATAAAAGTTATGTTTAATCCCTGTGAACTTTTATAGACCTAATCATCAATTTTATATACTTTATATATTTTTCAAAGATTTTGCCTGACATTCACTGAAAATGTATATGTGAATAATCACTGTATATTTTAAGCTGATATAGTGAAAATTCAGCCAAAATTCACACAGAAAAAATTTCTTTACCTGACATTCGACATGTTCTTCAAAAGGAAAAGGTTTTTTTACTTGTAAAATTCACTGTATGTAATTAAGGGGTGAATGTAGCCTTCCTTTTTAAATTTTTCTGACAAAAATCAGGCAACCTCAACCTGTTTACTTCTAAATGTGCCAAATCATTGCATTTTCTACTAAAAATGCAATGTTTTTCAATTTAGAGTGCAGATCCTTTCTTTGTAATCTAAATGCAGCACTTCTAGGTTTAATTATTTTAACTGAACAAAAAAACAGCATGCCCCCCCCCTTTCCAGAATAAATCAACCTAGTGTACCAGGATTGCAGGTTAATGTTACCAAAGCAGATAAGCTGTCCGTGTATAGCTCCCTGTTATGTTGATACCAGTCAGCATGTCCTTCAGTATTGTAGGATGGTGCTTTAAGGAGGAGGGTCGCCTTCCCGAAGAACCAGTGCCCGATGCTAATGTCTGTTTGGAGGAGGGGGTGCTGGCAAGGGGAAAGTTAAATTGTGTACCACATACCTGCGCATTAATGGTGAGCAAGTCAGTGGTTGCCCACCCCTGGAGAACTTGCTTTAGGAGTCCCTTGGTCCTCTAGTTCAACATGCATATGGGTGAGTAAGGAATACAAATAAAAAACACCTTGAAGACCACAATATGTATATAAATATTGCGGTTTTCAAGTGGTTTACCAGTGTTATGGCTGAAGATATCAAAGCAGCTCGAACGACTTAGTAGTCACTGGCATGCTTTCCGTAGTGGCTGGAGGGGACTCCCCCTCCCATCGCTCGCCAGTGTTTCTCTGGCTTACCGTTAAAACCAGCACGCCTGAGAAACTATCCGACGGTGCGGGCGGCTCCTCCTAGAGGTGATGAGAGACTCTATGTTCTCTGATCACCTCTATGGCATGGAGGACTGGAGCAATGTCATGATGTCACATCCAGTCAGTCTGGGCCTGATGTAAACAATTTTTTTTCTTTTTTTAAAGAAAAAGATTTTAACCACTTGCCCTCCTGAGGATTTACCCCCTTTTCTGACCCTGCCATGCGCGGTCATGCAACTCTGCACTTAAATTAAATTTATGTCTTTTTTTCCCCACAAATGGAGCTTTCTATCAGTGATATTTGATCACCTGTGCATTTTTTACTTTTTGTGCTATAAACAAAAAAAGACCGACAATTTTGAAAAAATAACAATATTTTTGACTTTTTGCTATTAACCGCTTCCCACCCAGCCTATGGCCAGATGGTGGCCGGCAAAACACCTTGTCCCTCCGGGTGGACACCATATGGTGTCCTTTCAAGCATGCACAGTTTGCATGCCCGCAGAGCCGTGCAGCGGTGCGATCTGTCAGAGGGCCGTGTACCTCGGACACGGCCAATGACAGATCTGTGTACCAGCCCCCCCGTTGCCGGTACCATGTGACCTGCTGTGACCAATCACAGCAGGTCACATGACAGTTGTATACAATGGATGGCTTCCTGTCATGCCATCCATTGTATACAAGTGTGGCTAGCTGTGAATGGTCACAGTGATCACATGCACAAGCTGGGCCCATCACAGCCCATCTGTGTCATGTGATTAGCTGTGGCCAAATCACAGTTAAGAAAAAAAAAAACCTGAATGAATCGATTTCATTCAGGTAAATGCTTGCTTATAGCAATGTAATTCTTTGCTATAAGCAAATTGTGTAAAAAAATAAAAAAATAAAATATAGATCACTTTCCCAAAGTAGTACAATGTTACTATGGTCATAGTGAAATATGAAAAAAAAATCTGAAAAAAAGAGAAAAAAATATAAAAAATAAAAAAAATTAAAAACAAAAATTATCAATTTTTTTTTTTTCGTTCTGTCACCAGTCAGTGTCCCTGATCACCACCAAGCCAGTTATATGTTGACGCTGTACTGCACTGGTGACAGTATCTAAAAATAGTAAAAATATTTTTTTTTATTTCTTCATTTCCGAAAAATTATGACAAAAAATTACAACTTCAAAAAACTCGCCATGCCTGTTATGAAATACGTCTGACTGTCTACTTTGCAAAAAGGGGCCATTTGGGGGATATCTGTACTATTCTGACATTCTTGGACCTCAAGAAATGAGATTGGCTGTCAGTACTTCAGGATTGATCAATATTCAGATATATCCCATAGTTTGTGAACTCTATAACTTTCCTACAGACTAAATAATATATACTTATTTGGGTTATTTTCACCAAAGACATGTAGTAGAATACATTTTGACCTAAATTTATGAAGAACAATTATTTATTTGAAAACATTTATAACAGAAACAAAGAAAAACATTTTTTTTTCAAAATGTTTGTTTTTTTTTTGTTAATTTAGCAAACAATAAAAACCCCAGCGGTGATTAAATACCACCAAACAAAAGCTCTAGTTGTGTGAAGAAAATGATAAAATTTTAGTTTCGGTACAGTGTTGTATGACCGCGCAATTGTCATTCAAAGTGTGAGAGCGCTGAAACCTGAAAATTGGCCTGGGCAGGAAGGGGGGAAAAGTGCCCTTTATGGAAGACGTTAAACATGTCCAGTAAAAAATTTTTTTAAAAAATCTAATTTTGTCATGAATTTAGGCCAAAATGTATTCTATTCCATGTCTTTGCTAAAAAAAAAAAATTCCAATACCTGTAAATGAATTGGTTTATGTGAAAGTTATAGTGTTTACAAATGACGGTATAGATACTGGAATTTGTTTTTTTTTACTTTTTACTAGTAATGGTGGCGATCAGCAAGTTATAGCGGGACTGCGGTGGGCATTCTGCCACTGGGGTGGAACTGACTTGGTGTCACTGACATCTCCAGTGACACCAATAGAGTAATCAGTGCTAATAAAAAGCACTGACACTATACTAATGGCACTGGGCAGGAAGGGGTTAACATGTGGGGCGATCAAAGAGTTAACTGTGTGCTGTGTGTGTTTTACTATGAGGCTGTGTTTGTGCTTCACTGTAAGCACACTGCTTTGCATGGCTCTGCTATGCACAGCCATGCAAAGCAGTGTGTAGGAGTTGACAGGGGAGAGAACTGTTTTGTTTACAAACAATTCTCCCCTCTAATCACAGAGTGCCGGCGAGTAATCACCGTCCGGGACCCAGTAATTGACAGCCGCAGCTGCGAACGGCAGCGTGGGTAGGGCGCATGTGCATGTTGCGCACACCCTCTACCCGGAAATGCGAAATCAGGAATATATAGGGGATTTTGCGCACCCATGCTGCCCTGTAGCAGTACTTCGAGGATGGGAAGCATAAGTCGCACACGCATATGCAAACGGTGTTCGCAGCATACATGTGAGGTATCGCTGCAAACATTAGAGCAAGAGGAATAATTCTAGCACTAGACCTCCTCTAACTCTAAATAGGTAATCTGTAAAAAAAATTTTAAATAGTCGCCTATGGAGATTTTTTTAAGTAGCGTAGTTTGTTGTCATTCCACAAATGTGCACAATTTTAAAGCAGGACATGTTACATATTTATTTACTCACCATAACATCCTCTTTCATATTTTACAAAAAAATTGGGTTATATATTTTTTTAATTTATTAAAGTGTATTTTTTCCAAAATAATTGTGTTTGAGAAAATGCTGCACAAAATACCATGTGACATAAAAAATTGCAACAATCGCCATTTCATTCTCTAGGGTCTTTGTTAAAAAAGCATTAAGTTTGGGGGTTATAAGTAATTTTCTAGCAAAAAATACAGATTGAAACTTGTAAACAAAATGTCCCAGAAAATGCTTGTTCTTCAAGTGGATAGCTTTCATTCTATTTATAACCAATATTTACGATTTAACTGTATTTACCATTCAGGGTTCAGCAATTTTCAAAGTTCCCCTGCATCGTCCATTCAATATCTGCAGGTCAGAGAAAGGGAAGCAATGTTCTCCCCTCCTTCAGTGGTCAAACCCTTGAGGAAGTTGCACCACTTTCAACAGTTTTATGTGTCCATGAAACTATGGGTAAGTAGTACCCTGTGACATCATTGCCTGGACAAATATCAAATATGGGCAATAAATGTGAATGTATAAACAGAAACTATGTGCTATCTCTCCAATACCATGAAATGTGCTCAGTTACTGTAGCTCCATGCGCTATTTTGCACTTGATATAATGATATACTGTATGTATGTAAGTTTAAGCTTAGTATTCATTTAAAAGCTGAAATACTTTTAAACAATCTAACTAAATTTACATGAGCCCCACCCAAGTAAACCTTCTCACATACTGCCTAAACATACTATACATGAAGATAACGTTCCTTAATTTTTTAGATATATTTTCACGTATACTACACTTAGGCAGTGGCGCTCTCTCCCCCCCACACCCTTTTTTCACCCAAAACACCACAATACCCTTGCACAAGGTTATTCAAAGTCAGTTTCTCAGTCACAAATACCCCTTGCTGCATTGACATTACATGTGCAGCAGGGCAAGCTAGTACTTCAGGCACATATTGGGTCATCTCCAGCTAGTGGTATATCCTTGACACCCAATCATCCATAGATATGGGTTACATAGTTAGTCTGGCTGAAAAAAAGACAAAAGTCCATCCAGTTCAACCATAAAAAAAAAAAAAAGTTATAATCCTACACCCACAGTTGATCCAGAGGAAGGCAAAAACCCAGCAAAGCATGATCCAGTTTGCTCCTGCGGGGGGAAAAAAATTCCTTCCTGATCCCCCGAGAGGCAATCGGATATTCCCTGGATCCACTTTACGTATAAAATGTTAGTATTCAGTTATATTCTGTGTATGTAAGAAAGAATCCAGGCCTTTTTTAAAGCAATCCACTGAGCTGGCCAGAACCAACTCTTAAGGGAGTCTATTCCACATTTTCACAGCTCTTACTGTGAAGAAACCTTTCCGTGTTTGAGATTTAATTTTTTTTCCTCCAGACGTAAAGAGTGCCCCCTTGTCCTCTGTGATGTCTTCAGGGTGAATGACTCTACACCGAGTTCATAATATGAACCACTGATGTATTTATACTTGTTGATCATATCTCCCCTTAATCTCCTCTTCTCAAGAGAGAATAAATTCAGTTCCTCTAATCTTTCCTCACAACCTTACATTTATCAACATTAAACCTCATTTGCCACATAGTTGCCCAATTACACAGAGCATTGAGGTCGGCTTGTAAATTGGAGACATCCTGTAAGGACGTTATTCCACTGCACAGGTTGGTATCATCATGGTTACTTTTAAGCATTTTAGTTATGACATTGCCATTCCAATCCATAAAAACGTATATCTGTAAAAGTATAAAAAAGTATATGTGTAAATAGTGGAGACAGTAAAAATCAAAAACATCAAAAATAGCGATGGTGGGTGGGAAAATAGCCAGCTATGGACAGCACTATCAAGGGTCAAATTTCTTCCCTTTCTGACTTCCTTCAGAAAGACCTTTGTACAGGCCATACAGAGTGAGGTAAATTTCACTGTTTTTTGTTTGTGGATAGCTTCTCTTTAAATAAAAATATAGACTTTGTTTTAAGTGGGTGGTGTTTTTAAACAGTTTTTTTTTTGTTTCTTTTTGTTTTTGTTTTTTTAGGAAGGCTCCCATTATTAAAAATATGTGTTTTTTTTTTTATGCTGGTATTTTTGGGGGTTTCATTTCTTTTTCGGCTTTATTTAATTTTTTGTATTTCATGCTGTTAGAGCATTTTTGAAGTTTTAGAGTACTCAATGCACAGTATTCCATGAATACCTGTTTTGGAAAGCTGCCTTTTGTTAACAGCACACTGTTGCATTTTTTGATTTGAGACCCTTTCTTATTTTTGCATAAGGTGGTGTTGATGTCTAGGACTTGCTTCTTGCCTAAGGCCCCATGTACACGGGACACTTCTGAACGATGGAAACTGACTGCTGGAAAACATAGATTAAAAAACATCTGTTTATCCACGTTTGCATACTGCATTATATGCGCGTTTATGAGCATTTGCGTTTAGAAGCGTTTTTTTAAGATAACCTCAGGAGACCTTCCAAAATGCCCAGATAGCAACAAAAACAGTAAGAAATTAACTATTTCAGACATTTTGAGAGAAATGGAGAGAGCAGAAGCATAGAGAGTAGTATTTGTTGAGTATTTGTTGCTGTCTTTTTTTTTTGTGGTGTTTTGATGTGTTCCAGCTCATTTCTGTGCAGAGATTATTGCAGCAGTGTCTAACATATTTTTTTTCATGCAAAACTTCAAAGTATGGTGTACCAGGTCCATTTGAGTACCGGGAAAACCCGTTGAAAAAAGGCTCTGGACAGCATTTGGAAATGGAAGAGTTAAAAAAAATTTCAAACGCAAACGCCCATAAACGCAGTTAGCCGCATTTAGTCGCAATCCAAAAACAAACAAACGAAACCAGCGCTCAAATCCTCATGCAGACTAGAAGAAATTCTGAATGCCAAACGAAGAGGTGCAGCTCTTCAAATATTGGGAAATCTGGATACTAATGAACAAACAGGGGCGCAATCTCATTGTGCATTACCGTGGTAAACCATGTGTTTATTGTGTAATCAAATAGATATATACTCACAAACCAAAGGAGAAATGAAAGCAGAATAGATAGTCCGCAATGGCAGTCAATGCAATGCTGTGTCCAAATTAGGGATAAGCTGACACATTTCGAGAGACGAACCCCCTTCCTCAGAGCTGAAGTGTGTACCTGCTGGTCCAATACTTATATGCCAAGAAATGCTAAAGAGGTCAAAAAGTCCCTCCCCCCACACACACATGGCTGTCCAATCACAGAATAGACCGATTGGATCCACCTCCAAAAAAAAAAAAATAATAATAATAAATGAAATGAATGAAAATGAAAAGATGTAAAAGCATGAATGGGTAAATGAATAAATAAATGAATGAATGTACAAGCCACATAAATCACTAGGACGCTAAATATATAAAAATAAAATACAAATAAATGAATAAACTGTACTCACCCATAGTCTCAGGATGGATAACATGGCTCAAATGAAAGATCTTTGACTCAGGAATATCTGTCCCATATCAGATAAAGTATATGATGTATATCTTACATTAGATGATGTATTAAACGTAAATCTAGATCTATTCATACATATGTATCCACAGTAATGCACGATGAGAGTGCCCCCTGTTTGTGTTTGTTCATTAGCGTTTAGCCGCGTTTATACACATTTACAAGCATTTTGTGTTTGAAACGCTGATAAAATCTACTGCTGAACGCAAGTTTTCTGCGTTCAAAAAAACGACTGTAAACTGAACTGCCTGTAAACGACTGTAAACGATGATGTGTACATGAACACATAGGAAACATTAGGGAGAGTTCAGGGGCTGCTGAAAAAAACGCTGAACAGCTCCTAAATGTGAGTTTATCAGCTGCAGTGTACATGAGCCCTAAGAAGAGTACTCTATTTGCTTTGTTGTCCCTGCCTGTGTTAGCTCAACCAGGGCAGAGACGGCCTTAGGCAAAAAAAAAAGGAAAATTATTAAAAAATGTAAATAATATTTGAAAAAAATAACAATATTGTGATGGTGGGGGTGGCAACATGGCTGAGCCTGAACTACTGTTTGGGAGGGGAGGTGAGGGTTAAAGAAAACACTCATCCGTCAAAGTTGCATAGGAATGCTTCTATGCTGTGTGACTTCTGTGAAATAACATACAAGTCTATGGGGCTGAAATTACACTGAAGTCCCCCAGGAACCTTTCCCAAAATTGCACTGTGCTGAGTTGCATTGATTAAAAAGACACTGTTGAGTATAATGGGATTTCCCTTGTCATGTGATTCTATGGGCAGCACAGTGGCTAAATGGTTAGCACTTCCGCCTGGCAGTACTAGGGTTGTTGGTTCGAATCCCAGCCACAGCACCATCTGCCTGGAGTTTGCATGTTCTCCCTGTGCCTGAGTGGGTTTCCTCCGGGTACTTTGGTTTCCTCCTACACTCC